ATTTTTGTTGGCTGGCTTTAATGCATTTTCTATTAACGGTTTGGCATCGCCACATGCTGACCCAGTTCGTCAATGGAATTGACAAATACACGAAAGCCAAATGAATGAATCGTCGGTCGAGCGGGGCGGGCGGTGCTCCCTGGACGGTGCTGAGGTTATCAATCCAACGAATTATAAAACTGCGTTCAATGCATTTTGACACAATTTTTGGCCGCCAGCCAGCTGTTTACAGAATTTGTATACACTGCTCATAAAGCGAAAAAGGGGCATTTTTACAACAGTTTTAGATTCATTAGGCGCAAAATAAAAAGCACAGTTGAAAGGCTCAGTAAGTTTTGTAGCCACTGCATTAGGCGAACAGATAAAGAGTAACTTAAACTACAATGAGGGACGCTTTAAGGAAAGACACAGAGCGGGAAACCCATAACTAAGAAGGGTGTTTCTAAGGTCCACATTTGTAGATTTAATTAATGAAGCTAACAGTTTAAGCAGCACTGCTACCACACTAAGAAGGCTCTTCTCAAAGGAAAGGTTCCTGAGACACTTGGGTTCACTCCCTTGGGCCATAATCAAGGCAGATGTCTTGAGAAGAGACGCAACATACGAAACATTCACTCGAACTTACAGTCTTCGAGATACTACAATACTCAAGAAAAATGACTTGAATATAATAGTTTTAGAATCACATTGATTTTCTTAACAGTTTTAGAGTCACTAAACCCCTGTCGATAGGTATCTTTTTGGCATTCGTTAAGCTCGTCGAACACTGAGAGCAGAGTGTTGCTTAGTCGGTTGCATTTGATTGCTACGTGCTTACGAACTGCAACTGCACCTACCCATAACTTATGTCTATACAGTTAACCATGCACACGCACACACGCACACGCACCCACTCACCGGATTTTTACTGTACTTTAGAATTGGCTTTAAAACGGTTTTACCCGCTGCGGCTGCCACCTTTCCCCACTTAGCCAAATGTTGCATTTGTCGCTGTTGCTGTCGTTGGTTTATTTTAATGTCATTATGCTAATTTTACAGTTCAATTGAATCGAACTACAAAAACAAAGCCGGGTGAATACTATATACATCGCATATAGACTTTAGCTGAGCTGCCAGGTGAATGGCAGGCCGGCATCTCCGTTCATATTGATGAGGCTGTTGTTGTTGTTGAGGCTAATGTTGCTTTGCTGTTATGTATTCTCTGTTCGGTGACTGCATTTGACATTTTGCTCATTGCTTTCTTGCTAATGTTGTTGTAGTTGATGTTTTGCACGCCTCTTTACCTTTCAATAAAAATTGTTGAATAATCAGCAGCAGCAGCAACCATCAGCAGCGGCAGCAGCAGCGGCAGCGTGATACGCGCATTGAAAGGCTCAAGAAGAAAGCGTATTGCGAATTTTGTGTGACTTGATTTGCGTGATGTGCATACGGCAACAACTGCGACAAAGGCAAAGGCAAAGGCAAAGGCAGTTGGCATGGCAGCTGTACCTCGTATTATATAAGCCCGCAAATGTTATGCTATTTTTAAGCACTATATAAATAACAAGCATGTGTGCCTTAAAAGTTCAAAAAATAAAAAGGAAAGGGCGAAAGGCATAGACAAACAAGAGCAATGTGCCGGAATGAAGGCCCAAACCTGACTCCATCGATGGGGGGGGGGCTAACAGGTGGCTGCTTGAAAGTGTTTAAACGTCTGCATCTGTTGTAAGCCATAGAAAAAGTCAGAGCCATACTACCTTAAGCTAGTTTATGGTTTACTCATAAGCAGAACTTACTCGCGTATATTAATGCGATCTATTACAGTTAGTAGGTCTTCAATTTAGTTTAGCCTAATAACTGAGAGCCAAGTTTGCAAGCAACTTGAAAATTCAGCTCATTAACTTTATTAGTGCGATGAATATTTCTTCAATGCATAATATATTAGTTTTCTAATTAAAGTTCACTTCTTACTTTACCTACGATATGTAACCGATTTTCCATCAAGTGCAACTGATTGTATATATCGATTTACAATAACAATATATATCTACTTTAAAGAAGCAAAGATACTACGCTTTAATTTATATATAATTATGTTTGTCTACAATTTATATAATTTTATGTTTGTTTAACATTTGCTATAACTTATCGATAAACTGCAGTTGATGCTTCTCGACCCAGGCAAAAAAAAATAACTCTTGCATTAGCTACATATATGTATATACCCCGTAAGACTCGGAGTGGACCTTCTGTTTGCTCCTACCTAAAGTCTTAATGCTTTCTGTTGAAGAGCTTTCCGTTTGCCTGTCGATTAACAAGCAAATGAAACTTTAGTATTTCGATACATTTTATTTCAAACAACATGGCCAGCCAAACATCCAAGTTAAGGTTCTACATCAACGTTTAGCACATGTTTATTCTAGGGAAAAAGAGAAAACACAGACAACATGTTGTTGTCGTCACCCCTCGCCACACATTACCCCAACTGCCCGTCTCCCCTTGCCTGGCATATGCAGCACAATTTTCAACAATTTCGAGAGCTTGACCCAAAGCATTTAGCGCTTAAGAGGAAAATAGGCAAAACGTGCCGGGCATAAGTGAAAATTTTCTAGGCAGCACCATATTAGATGTTGCCATGACCATATTTAAAAACCAAACGCCAGTAAAGTCACAGATTTTTGTTGTTGTCGTTGTTGCTGTTGGTTGCTGTTGTTCACTGCTGTTGTCAGTTAATAAACCAAAAACCGGTAGCATAAAATGCCGCTTGCTGTACAGCAACAAAGTCTGGCTAGTTAGCTGAATGACTGGCTACTGCAGCGTGTTGTTGGTATATAGAAAGAAAAGAAAAAGAAAAAAGGTCAGGCGGCCAGCGCTGATATGGATTTGGGGTCTAGGAATTAGGGCTTTCAATTGGTTTTCGCGCTGGTATTGAATTTGCAATGGCGCCGGCCAATTGATAGCCAATTTTCGCGTTTTGCAAAGAGATGCGCCTGGGCTGTGCTGCTGCTTCAAAAATTCACTTCGTCCGGGTCTGTAGAAGCCTCTCCAACACAAACAGCAAGATTTGTAGTCAGGCTACGGTAAATGTAAAGCAAAATCGATATTAATATTCTTTTAACTTCTCTTTGTCCGCCGACTCAAAAAACTCGGAGCCCTCTTGAAAATTCAATTTGGCGCTAGGTTAAAGCCCGTTGACAAGTCAAAAGGTTCAATGCACCTCAGGGCGTTGCATTTACTGCAAGCCATATCTATAAATGTAAATACTTTATAGCCAAGCAATATTTTGGGCCAATTATTAATTAACTGTAAATGTCAGGGGCTCACGGCAATACATTAATCATAATTAGTTATGCCACACGACAACGGCAAACAACACCAGACAGCAACAACAACAACGAAAACAACACCAAATTGGCCAATGATATGTTAACAATTAGAGCTGATTTGAAAAACCGATTGGAGTTCAAAATTTTGGAGCACTAAGTGCCAACAGAGGGCAAAGCGTTATTGTTGAAAGTTTTGTACAACGATTAGCTAAATGTAGCGCAAAGGTTTTCAGGGTGTTGTTGTTGTTGTTGTTGTGCATCTACGTAACGCAAATGAGTTAACAGCAACAACCAAAACAACAACAACAAATATATACAACAACAGCTAAAAGGAAAGGTAAAATGGTGCACATAACCGGCTTTGGATTTTAAGCGATTCACTTGGCCAAAGAGACAATGCGGCGTATGCGTAATGTGGCTGAATGCGCATACGTATGTGTGTATCTCTGTGTGTGCGTGTGTTTGTGTGTGTGTGTGTGTTTGTTGTTTGCTGTGTTATGTTTAACCCTTTTGAGAAGTTATCTAATCCAATTAGGAGCTGTCGCAGCATTAAAGTTTTCGAGCGCAGCATTGCGTAAAGAGCACAATGGGCGTGGCACGGCCAGCGGGATTTTGTAAAGGGCGCGGGTGGGGTGGTGTGCGAGGGGTCATCGAGGGCAGCTGGGCAAAACGTTTTGGCACCAATTTGTTGTTGCTGCTGCTGCCGCTGCTGCTGCTGCTGCTGCTGCTCTCGATTAAGTTTTCGTGCACCAACTGACAAAATTCGTTATAAAATTGCATTGCAATGGACGTTGGCAGCAAACATTTTAAACAATTATAAAACTTGTTTTACGCTTCACAAAACTACAAAAAAAAAAAAAAATGTAATAAAAAAAAATACAGCACCAGCTACAACTGCAACAGCTAAGTGCAACCAACGATTTGCCATCAAATGCGCCGCAGCTGTCAAGTGCAGCGACGCCCGCCTTTTTTCCTTTCTGTTTTTCTTTTATGTTTTTTTTTTTTAAATGTGTTTTTGGGATATGGCGCGTTTCGCATTTCGCTGAAAATGTTTCACAAATCAACGCTGAATAGATGCTGTTCATTTTTCAACATTTTGATGACTGTCCAGGCGATTATTCAATTTATGTTTCGGATTATGGCATTTGTTGTTGAATTTTAAGCAGGTTTCTGCTGAAAGCAAATAGTTTTATTGCAAATTATCAATCTAAATTTTCATATGCTCTAATTGGAAACTAGTATTATGAGCTATCAAAACGCACGCTGAACAAATATTAAAAGCTGTTTTAAATAACTAATGATGCGGTTTTAATTAGTTATATCTCAAATAATAAAAATAATAATAATAAAAATTCTTTTCTTCTTCTTATTAAGATTTTTATAATATTATATATTTCTGTTATATTTAATATTTGTATATTATGCCCAGCTTAATTTGAACATTTCTCCGTTTAAAATATATGTTTTAAAAGATTTTCAAATTTAATTAAGTGCTTAGAAAAAGAGAATTTCCTATATATTTACTAAAAATCGTCTTACGTAACAAATTTTGACTTTTTAAACTCTATAATAATGAATATAAAAAAAATAAGAGTTAAAATTTGTTCTAAAAGGCAGTTTTTAACATTTGATTGAGCCCACTCTTATTTTGTATAAATAATTCCCACTTCAATATAATTATTTTTAGAAAATAGAATTATCAGCATATCATTGAATTTGCTTTGATCACAAATTAATAAAAAAAACTACTTTCTGGAAAAGCAGTACGCATTTCAAGCAGAGAAATATTCATCCAACGAAAATGTCAAATAGTTCATTTGAAGAGGGTAAACTTATGGCTGTCATAGGCGATGAGGTGGCTGCAGCGCAAGCGCGTTTGTCGCTTAAGTTTTTCTGAATCCGTTTATTTTTTTCTCATCTCTTTCTTCCTGCAGGACACCTGCGTTGGCTTTCTGCTTGGCGGCATTGGCGAAGTCAACGAGGAGCGTCAGTCGAACTTTATGGTTGTCGAGAAAGGTAAATTTGGCAGCAGATGAGTAATTTTCATTTTGAGTTTCCCAATTAAACCGAGACTTGTTGTTCTGCCTGACAGACACCAGCGCCGCGGCCATAGACGAGTGCTTCAAGCGCTTCGTGGCACGCGAGGATATCGCCATCATAATGATCAATCAGATATATGCGGACATGATACGCGCCACCATCGACAAGCACCTGCTGCCTGTGCCCACTGTGCTGGAGATACCCTCGAAGCAGCAGCCGTACGACGTTAACAAGGACTCCATACTGAAGCGTGCGCATGTGAGTTGCATTTAATTCAAATATTCCTTTGGCCTAGGTATTAAAGTCTGCATTGCTCCCAGGGCATACTCAAGCCTGTGGTGCGTCGTCGCTAGAGCTTGCTGTACAGTGAAGCCCCTGCACAAAGCGATCTCATGTTATACGAATTGTTGTATTAAATATGATGCATATAGATAGTAGAAGCTTTGAAAGGCTTTTGTCATTGTTACAAACTCGATGCCACAATTGATTTGAAAAGTTTTGGAAAATAGAAAAGACAAGAAAAAAGGCAACGGGCGGGCACCACAAATATTTCGTGCAAGTTTTTCAAGTTTGCTTTTTAAGGAAATTGTCGAAAAGAGCATCAGGCAAAATGGCAAAAATCTGTGGCAAAGAAGGGCTGCGCGTTGCACACTGCACGCTGCAAGTTGCAAGTTGCAGTGGCAGCCGCAAACAACAGCTCAAGCCACAACAAAAGTAACAACAAAGTGAGCGAAAACGATACAAATAAGCGTTGAAAATGCCAATACATGGCAAAACCTAGGGCGGAAACAAAAGCACGAGCACGAGAGAAAGAGAGAGGGAGCGATAGAGAGAGAGCGACGCAACGAAGACACAACAAGAAGTTGCTACAAACTCTTAAAAAAGACAGCGCACATTGATACAATTTACGTTGCAAGAGAGTTGAATTACTGTGCAGCAAGGGGCGTGGCTACAGTGCAAAGGGGGGGGACTCCACACTGTTTCCTCGAGCGCTTAGCGCAACAAAAGCATGCGAAAACAATATTTGCGCAAAGTATTTTACAGCAAACTTTTCGCGCCAAGAAGTTAACGCAGAGGCATTCAAAAAGTTGCGACAACTTTTTGGCGCCTTCTCTCAGTGGCATGTCGCGCGCCGCGCTGTGGGCATGCCAGCCGCCGCCCCAAAAGTAGGCAACGCACGCGAGCGCCGTGCACAATTCTACGCCTGGAAGTAGGCAACGGTAAATTCTAGCCAGGCACCAACGTGTATATCATACGCGCCCACCGATAGCATCCATTGAAATTTAATGAGCCGTGCAATTTGAGAGCAACCAATTGGCCAACTGTCAAAAACCAGCGCTGCAGGTACAAAATGCTGACAACAAAATGGCGTGCTACGTTTTGAGGGCCTAATTAACCGCACAGCTGTCACAGTCACACACACATAAACTCGCATCCAGCCCCGGCCCCACCCACTTGCCGTCCCTTGCTACAAAGCGGCACGCGGCGCACGCTGCGTATGCGTAATCGCATTTCGTTTGATCTGCCAAATGCATTCGACTGCACTACTCAACTGTAAACGCCACACCAAAACGCACCCCCCCCGCCTTCCTTTTCCATGACTCCAACGAGGCCTAACCAAATGCCGGCAGATAAATAGCCTGCTTAACAAAGGACATTGAATCTGTGGCGCGCGCAGCGAGTCTTTGAACAGCAATAAAAACGCATTTCATACAAGTCTCTGCTCCGAAATACACATGATCTAATTTTAACTTAACATTTCAGTGGATGTTGCACAGCTTTCGATAGGCACTCAATACCAATTGTGTGTGTATCGATAATTATACCAACTGCTGACCTTTACCTAATTGAAAAACATCAAAAATGTTTTCAAAGTTCATGCTGTCAATGCTTTAGAAATTTTGATACTGTTTAATATCCATTTTGCGTTTACAGTGTAAAAAGTTGTTGGCTCCACTCTGTTCTGCCTTGACCTCTGAGAGTAGAATATGGTGGGGCTTTGACAGATTTAATCTTTTTCAATTAATTGCATTAGGAAAGCCAAACACTCATCCGATTCTCTGGTTTCATGCAAAGGAATCGTAATGAAAAGGTATCTTAAGGCGCACCTTCTGAGATTTATCGATAAAAGTGGAAGCAAATGCCACAGGCTGCGTTGGTTATAATAAATATTCCGAAATATTCCGTTATATCGATAGCATTGGGAACGACTAACTGCTGATGAAACTATCGAGTGGTGTTTATTTCCTTGAATTTTTGCTCCTTCAGCCGCACAAACGACCTAAACCTAAGATATAAAGATGTTTATGCAACTTTTACATTAATCTAATTTAGGTTGATCAGAAATCGAGTTTTTTGGCTTTCCTACAGGTGCAGCTAACAGCGTTTATTCAGATTCGTCTCCAACTGCTTTAATAAAGTCGAGTGTTTGAAATTAAATAGGTATTTTTAACAACAGAAAGATAGCTGAGAGGTTGAAGGCTGGCAAGCTGAAGCTGGGCCTGAAAGCAAACAAATATCCGCACCTTTGGCTTGCAAATTATATTGTGTTGAAGGGGGCCTTTGTGTGTTGCACAAATGCTTGCAATAGCATGCAGCCAGTTTTAATTAAAATACAAGCCGTGGCAGAATGCATCCTACACAATACACAGACAGAGGCATCAATTGGCTGGGCGGAGGATAACAGAGGGACGTTTCACTGTACTTTTGACATATCGCAAGAAGTCGGAAAGGCAGAAGCAGAAGCAAAGAAGGAAAACTAAATAAATAAGTGAATGGCAAAAGTCGAGGCAACTCCAGGGCCGCATAGAGGTTGGGTGCTGGGAAACTTCTACTTCTGCAGCAGGCTATGGAGTGAAAATAAATAAATAAGATTATTCAAAAAGTCGTTTTGAATTCCCATGACAGCGCTTAAAAACAAACAGCTGAATGCAATTTCAAAATGAAAGAATGAAAAGCGGCTCACAATAACACTGAAAAACTGAGACAGCTTCTGCCAACAAAGGCCCTGAGAAAATACAATACTTAGCCAATGTAAATGAGATGCATAGACCCGAAATATTTTCAAGCAGCTCGACGAGCACTTCAAGTGCTAATTGAAACTAGCAACTGCAATGGGGAACCACATTTTCAACATTCCCATGTCAAAGGAAACCAAGAAGTGCATTTAAACGAATAAAAAGTCTCGGATAGACAGAGCGTGACTAACAAATACTCTGTACTCAGTTAAGAGCTGTGCTCTTAATAATACAGAAATATAACAAACATAAATAATTATAACAAAAACAATACAAATATTACACAAGATAATTGCACAGCTTTTCTGCAAAAAAGAAAAGGCTTTTTTTGTCACGCCCAGAACTGTATAACTGTGTCTGTATACTGTAGAAATTAGGTATTTGCTTAGTTTGTTCAATATATCTTGAAAAATAGAACATATTTTGCAAGAAAAACTCATTTTTTGATCGACTCTTCATATTAAGCTATATATATATAAACATAATCCGATTTATCTTGTTAAGAAGCTAGTTTACAGGGAAACAAACAGAAAACCCACACTGTAAAAAATATATGTGTATGCACTCAATGAGGTGGAAGTTGTCTTCTTCTGTGCTGTTTTCCTTTCATGACAAATATTTTATAACCCGCAGAATAAAGAAAGATCTTGGCTCTAGTGATTAAAAAATCATTGGTTCAAATCCTGTTTCCTAAGCCTACTTGACACTAGGCTAGATTTTGAGCTTTTAAATTTATTCATCTACAATTTCTATTGTTGATCAACTGAAATTATAAATAGTAAATACTTGAAATACATGAAAGCTGGCTCGTAATCATAATACAAATTTATTTTGATTTAATTGGAAAACAAACGAGGCACATTTGATTGGAATAAAAACATGGTCAGCTTACGAAATAGCTAATATAGGATATAGCTATACTAGATCTCCGGAGTAAACATATGCTTGCACAGTCTAATCAAAACCCTTCATATAATAATTGAAAGCGTGTACAGGGTATTCAAAAAACGAGTACATTCAACAAATTATCATACTGAAAATTGGCCACAAAATGCTTGCAATATTCGTAATGCAAATTAACAAATGAAATTGGCCCACAGAAAATTAACTGGCAGCACTCAAGTAGATTGACGAGCAGCAGCAGCAACAACAACAACAATAAGTGGAGGAGCAGCTGACAAGGAGGAGTCGTAAAATTATTGCGTTTGGACGTTGCCAGCTTCAATCAGTTGCACGGACAGCAGAAAGGACGCCGCCACACGGACAATTGCAGGCACTTGACACTGTGGCAGAGTGATAGCAAGAAACAGAGATAGAAGATGAAGAAGAATAAGAGGAGGATGAGCATAAAGGAGCTGCAGGATTCGATGTGCTCGAAAACAAAGTTAATTAAATGATCTGATCTCCATTATTCCCAAGAGCTAATCTCAATTACAAAATTGAAATGAGCAAAAGCACACGAGTGCGCTGGACACTGACACGCACACACACACACACACTTAGGGGTTGGGTGGTTATCCCTGGAGACTTTCAACCTTGCCTCCCACATACACACACACACACACACGAAACTTGGCCAAAATGTAACTCGAATGTCAAAGAAAACACAGGAAAGTGAAATGAACGCAGAAGATTGAAGTGCAACTGAGCAGCCGGAGGCGCCCAGCATACACATATAGATGTATATGGGTGGGTAAGTGTGTGTGTGTGCGTTTCAGTTATACTTATTTGGGGGCTTGGGTTAGCCTGGGGGCGTGGTGCTGCAATGCAATCGGCACAGCACAAAGCGTTTCATTAACAATTGCAAATTGGTATCAATTCATGACAGACATTCAAATGTCTCGCTGCGTTCGTGTGTGCCATTGCCGAGAACACACACACACGCTCGCATAAACACACTCGTGTGTGTGTGTGTGTGTGTGTTGAACTCAATTCTCCGATTCACTGAGCTAAACAAAATCATTGAAACTGCCATTGCCTGAGCTGTGCCTGGCAGCGAGGCCAGGCATCTGCCTGGTGTGAGACATTGATACATGGTATTGAGCATTTGGTAGATGTTAAGAGCTTTATGGGGCTGGCCCCAGACCTACAAATTGTGCGTTTAATTAGCTTAAGCAGCGATAGTTGTTATCGCAGCCCCAATCAACATGCTGCACAGCACATGTATAGACCTATATTTATTCAGGTTAAGCTAGTTGACAGATGGCTTCATTGAGGTGCCTTAGCAGGCTGCTGGCTCCT